CAGCGCACCGCAGAAGTAATGATTATGAATGTGTGAGGGAAAAACAGTAAGGAGACTGCATTAACATTTTAATTATTTGATAAACTGCTGCTTTTTCTTTGTTCTCGGTTTAAGAGATGAACTCGGCGACACTGACTCATCATCTCCGCAGTAGTGATGCACCTTGTTTCATACGGATTCCATAATCTGAGAATATTTGTTTTCCATTTGAATTGGTTCATTTGAAAGTAGACATTTCACTCTCTCGCTATATATTTTTAATGTCTGTAAGGCAAAGATATACACTAGAGTTTTGCGCTCAAGTTCACAGACCGAGACAGACCTGTTTGCTTTCATTATTTTACAAAAGCGCGTTTTGTTGTTATTGTGAGTGCACACAAATAAACGTAGAGTCTTTACAGATTTGAAAGATGCATTACTCTTATCTGAATGACCAAAAATGACGGAGTAGCCTATTTTAAGAGTTAGTAAGCGCACCGGCGCCTCCATCTGTCACGAAATGAGCGCGCTACTGTTTAGGTTCTACACTCCACACAGACACAATAGCGCACATTTCTCTAGGTTAACATTAGATCAAGCAGCCATGTGAAGTTGCTAATACTTACATATTTCAGATGATAAGCCATATTTGAGGTCGATGAATGATAGGCGACCGTTTGGATGTCCTGCCTGATGTACTGTATTACCATAGACTAGCCGTTAACGATCTGTCCGTCACGAACTGCGTGACTTCGCCTGTGGATTAATTTTTTTATGTGACTAAGCGACTAAATTTTGGTCGGTCGACCAAGCCTCTTCTGGCTTTTGGCCTTTAGGCGATTACCATAGACTAGCCGTTAACGATCTGTCCGTCCCGAACTGCGTGACTTCGCCTGTGGATTAATTTTTTTATGTGACTAAGCGACTAATAACATTTTGGTCGACCAAGCCTCTTCTGGTCGACTAACGATTAGTCGACTATAGGGGGCAGCCCTAATTAACACATTCATTTACTTTAGTGGTGCTTGATAAGGCTTGAGAAAACAGGTAAAAAATCCCATGGACTCACATTAAACTCGGGGGAAGTCGTGGCCTAATGGTTAGAGAGTCGGACTCACCACCCAAAGGTTGCGGGTTCGAGTCTCGTACCGGCAGGGATTGTAGGTGGGGGGAGTGAATGTACAGCGCTCTCTCCCACCTTCAATACC